CTTGTTTGCATTTACTCTCAGCTGTGCACCAGCAGCCTAACCACCAATCTGAAGAGTAGCTTCTAAAAGAAAATCTCCCAACAGGAAACAGAATGTGCTTCATTCAACTAAATATATTTACCAAACACAGATAGGAGAACATCAGAAATGACTTGCTATAAGTTGATGTTTTTACTTTAATAAAGCCTGGAACAATGTATTGATGGCTTTGATATTTAATTTACATACCCTGAATTATAAGTCAGAAATGTAATACAGTATGAACTTTATACATGCAGGGCCTTGCAAACATTTTCAGACACTTCCTATGGTGTCCCATTTTTGTGAGATTACTAAATGGTGCACACATGCTTTTTTAACGTTTAATATTTAATTCTAAACCTCTGTGTTCAAACTGAAAAAGTGTGAGTCATGGCATACAGAAACTGAAAAGTCATGCCATATCTCAGCACAAACTAAAGAAAAAAAAAGTTAATTATGTACATATTCAAATCTGTGTACACAATATTTTGTGGTGCATTTGGCAGTATTTACAGCTGCAAGCCTTTTTGGGTATGTCTCTACCAAATTTGCACGCCAGCTTTGTGCAATTTTTTCCCTTTCCTCCTGCAGGATTTGCTAATGCTCTCTGAAGTTGCTTGGGAATCACTTATGGACAGCAGTTTTCAAGTCTTTTAACAGAATTTTAATAAGATTCAAGTCAGGACTTTGACTAGGCCACTCCAGACATTCATTTTCTTATTCTCACTCCACTCCAGTTTAGCTTTTGCCCCACGTTTGTGCAAAACTAAGACATAATGCTGACACCACTATGATTTGACAGTAGCGTGAGCGATGCATGTTGGGTTTGCAACAGATGTAGTTCTTTGCATTTACTGTAGAAGCTACGGTTTTGTCTTGTATGATCACAAAGCCCTCTGTCATATGTTTGTTGGAGATAGTTGCAAACTCCAGGCAGGATCAGAAATGGGTTTTCTACTCTGCCATACAGCCCAACCTTGCAAACTGGCTGCAATATTGACTCATGCATATTTCCTTCCATCTCAGCCATCACACTATGTAGCTCTTTCAACGTCACCATTGGTGCATCCCTAACCAGCTTCCTCCTTGCCCCACAGCTCAGATTAGAGGGAAAGACAGGTCTAGGCAGTGTTTGGGTGGTATTATACACTTCCCACTTCTTAATAATCGACTTCACAGTGCTTAAAAGGATATTCAGAGGTTTTGAGATTTTATGCCTTTCTCCTGATCTGTGCTTTTCTACAAATTTGTTTTGAAAGCTCTGTGGTCTTCAAGGTTGAATCCTTGTTAGAAATTCACTACCTAACAGGACCTTACAGAGACAGGTATATTTTTTTTAAGTCATGGGTACCACTATTACTGCACACAGACAGGGGCCACTCAACGTATTGTGTCTCCTTAATGAAAATGTTGCATTTAAATTAATTTAGCTTTGGCACCGAAATGGGTTTGAAAACCTACTGCATGCAACCACACCTTGTATATAATAAACATCAAGTGCTACTTTAAAGTGTAATGACTGCAAGCTTTGAAGCAACAAAATTGTGAAACTGTTTCAGGGCCCTGAATACACTTGCAAGGTTTACTATTGGCCTAAATTTGGAAAATGTTTGCTGGCACTCACATACTGTATACAGTAGATTTCCGTCAGATGATCAGGGTTGGTGATATGATTAAATCATAAGTTATCAAAAATAAGTGCACATTCAAAGGTTTCTTGCACACCTCTCTACTACTGCTTTAAATATTTAATGACAAAGTATCCTAAGCCTTGCATCTGAGAGCAGAGGTGAAAAGTTCTCATCTTCCAAGATGGATTATGATCCCTGAGAGGTGCACACAAATGAAAGAGATCACCACACTCTACAAATTGTTCTCAGTTCAGTGCCAAAGGAAACCTGTGAGGACTGTTGCTTTCTGCTTGGATAGATAGCTTAAATATAACTGTGAAACGGCTGTAGTCAATGACATATTTTTAAATTGCTCTAACATGGCGGATATTTTGCTATGAAAGGGACTTGGCAAAAGCCATTACTTTAATGAAAAAACAGTCATATGCAGCATGCAAAAAAGCTGAAAAGTTTTCCTTTTACTAGATAAGAGGGAAAATGACTGGGTCTTGAACAAAAACTATTTTTTAATTCTACCTTTCAATAATATGAAAAATAGCTACAAGAATCTGGCTGAGCTAACGTGAATAATGATGTATTAGGCTATACTAATACCCATTACCATTAATATTTAAAGACCTTGAGAAGTTGTCCTCTATGGTATATTTTTACACTTTTAACACAGCAATAAAAACAGAACACAATAATGGGAGCCGTAAATGTTACTTAGCCTTTATTATTATTAATCAATCATTAGTAATGCCAAGACAAAGCAATATTAAATGGGCATCACATACTGTTTTACTATTTTAAATATAAATCTGTAAGCTTTACAGATTTCATTTAAAGGTCTTGTGTAAATACTCTCAAGTACTAAGATTTTTACCTTCAGGAATGGGGAAAAAGCAAACATACCTTTTGGTTTTATGAGGAAATGTCTGAACAGAACAAGGAGCCATTCATTCATTGATTTTCAGAAGCATAACTTCAGCCTTTGCCCTTAATCATAACAGTAATTTACTGAGAAACTGTTTTTTGAGGATTTGGACTTCACATATTTGTGTACTGATGGAAACTAACAGCAAAACCCTTCCTTCTGCCTCACATACTGTACTGTAAATGTTTATAATGAGTACATTCTTTCTAAAATGATATAAAAATACTGCCTTTTTTTAAAACCTTAACGTCATGGCTTAGAGTTTAGGTTTAAAGTAGGAATTCAGTTACCGGCATATGATAAAATGCTAAATTTTAAAAATGCTGATTTTAAAAATAGATAGACAGGAACACTTCCAGTAATGTATATTTTTTACGCTCTCTGAAATTATTTTCATTGATACACAGTCACCTTGTGATGCTGTGACCTGTTTTTGGCTAAGGAATACCAGACAACATAACTACACATAGCAACATGCTACAATAGGCAAACACTGGATTTGCCACATGGCATTAACTTTGAAATTAGCTAGGAAAATAAAAACCATAGAAGAGAGCAAATAAAAACCCATGTAAAAAAGATTAGGCTTTGAAAAACTATTGTCACAAAGTAAATGTAACTTCCAAGGTGGGCTAAATAGAAATGCTTTAGATTTTGTTGTCCCAAAAGAGAAGTCTAATCCAAAAATAACTTGTTGACTTTTGGTTCAACAGTGTACAAATGAGCATATTGTATGTGGAATTGCCCACAGCTTCTTGGAATTCAATTTGCTTGCAAAAGCTCAGGTTAACACCCCTATCTAAATAATCTATTACCATCCTAAGGTACAATCAGATATCAAAACTAATAATTATTATTTTTGTAGCCCAAGAAAACCACATTGTATTAATTGTCATAATCACTTCCATATAACTACACAACACTTCAAAAAATGTAATTGTTAAATGCAATTTCTTCATGCTACTTGATTTCAATACATAAAGGTAACATACTAAATGCCAATGTCAATTCAGAATAATATATAACAAGATAAACCAATTTGTGATATCACTAATTAAACAATGAGATGCTTTAAGGTAATTATGATAAATCCACAGTTTGGGTGTAACCTTTTCTTTACAGCATACAGTACCAAAGAACTATGTATACAAGGTGCCTTATAACAAACCACTTGTTCATCATCCAGCCATGTTAATGATATTGGGTAATAATATAAATAAAGAAAAATACTTGTACGTCACTGAGTTATCCAACTTGTTCTATTATCCCTTGTAATATATCTGATACTTCTGAATTTATTATTAACATACAGCAAACCCTGTTGTGTGCCTCCTGCAATATTCCTACACAAAACATTTGAAAATTATGAGTTAAGTAATTTAACCACCTTGAATATGAAGAAAATCTTCAGGTTTACAAATGGTGCACTAATAAATACTGGGTTTATTTTTAAAGTAAAAAAAGTCAAATGCAGATGAGTACAAATTTATATTAAAGTATTACCATTTATATATTTATATAACTCATTTATACTGTAAGGCATCAAAATACTGTAAGGCAAAAAAATGTTATTGGTTCCATAAAAATATCCAAACATCACAATATGCATACGGTATATAATTGCAGACTAGGAAAGATTCATTTTGAAAGAAAATCAAAAAGGAGAAAATACAAGAGAATTACTTGTCAGGCGCCATGTGAAATGCAGAAGTTTGGGGGTTATATCTGTCTATTGTTATCAAGGATTAAGATAAATCCCATTGTAAAACAGAATTACAGCCTATTATTACATCTGCTAAATATAACTGTCACTAAATTCCCAACTTGCAATTGCACCAATTTTAATGGGAATCAGGCCAGAACTTTCTAAACTGCTGCTATCTCTATCAATTAAAATCGTTTTGGAGATTACTCCAAATATTCATTTTAACGCCAATGAAAACATCATAGGCAGTAAATAGGAAGGAGCAAAAACATTGTTGTATAATACCCACTTTTATCTGTTTCCTAAACTAGATGGAAATACAAAAAAAGCTGAAAGTCAGTGATGTTTCATACTGTATACTGAATGCAGATATAAAAAAAGATTGTAATAAATGGTGAAAAAAAAAGATCAAAAACAAAATAAAAAGACTGTCTTGCCAGCATGGATGTAATCATGGATGTCTTAAGGAGACAGAAAGGTGAAGCCCTCTTTCTTGAAAAACTGTATGCAAAGGCAAAGAATGCAGTCTGGATGCTATATTTAGACAGTACTATTCCCATGGCTAAGTCAGTCTACGCATTCAAGTGTTGCCTAGCAAGGCACACATTGACAGACATGTTTGCTATAGAGTGCACTGTGTCATATCCTCCTTCAGGTACTCTACATTATTAACTGCTCTAGATAGAGAGCCACTCTTGAAATTATATAACATGGGCTTCTTACTTACCTCCATAACCCTGTCGTGAATTTGTAGTCCCCCTTCCTTGTCAGCTGGCCCATTCTCCACTATTTTGGAAACGAAGATGCCTTCATTTGAAGAGCCATCCTCATTGTCCTTGAAAAAGAAATCACATTGCAACTTTGACTTAATTTACAGTCACAAGAACAACTCTTTAAGGCTTCAGACTTAATTCAAAATAAAACTGCAAAAAAACATTAACACAAGTTTCTAGCCATTGCACTTGAAAATCCTGCTGAGAAGGAATCACAAAGATAAAACGTTTTCTTGAATGAGACAAGAAATAATAAAACAATCTCAGTAATAAATAAAATAGTAACGTTTCTCTGTACTACTGGACTAGTGATGTCCACACATTTTGTAAAGTTTTCTTGAATGAGACAAGAAATAATAAAACAATCTTAGTAATAAATCAAACAGTAATGTTTCTATTTACTACTGGACTAGTGATGTCCACACATTTTGGCACAACATGGAACAAAGAAACAAAACTAGATTTATCTATTTACACCGACAGTTAAATTGACAATATAGAAATTAAATTCAGAGGAAGGTATTGAATTAAAAATATATAAAAACAGAAAATAGCCATGTGCCCAATTTAACATTTAAATAAACATCCTAAGGACACATTACAGTAAATCTGTAATACTCAATGAAATAAGAAATTAAGCATGTTCTTGAAAATGGACACCCTGGAGTCCTTAAGATCTACTGCCATTAAAATCTCTCCTACCAGCTTCAATAGAATAAGCTTGACCTTGTGTGCACTCAGATTTACTTGAATAGAGTAAAAAAAAAGGAAAACATTTGTGAGTGTTTATAGGTGTACTATAGTACAGTACTGTATATGCTGATTTACCATTTTACTGGAGTGCACAGAAACCAAGTTTAGGCATGCAAATGTGTTTTGCCTATACATTTACTCTACTGACATTCATTTCAAAGAAAGAAAAAAAAAACATAAAATAACAATGACCTAAATATTTTTACAACTGAAGGAATCTTTTTGTGTATGAAGTGCACGTGCTACATGTCATCAATATTATTGAACTAAGCTGGAAAACAGCTGAGTGGCATGCCACTATTCTGCTCACAGGTTACTGATGAATTTGTCTCACATTGGAAAAAAGAATGGGATTTAATGTATTGATAACATGTAAAATTACTTTCTTTTTTTACCTCAAGTATTGTGCCACGTCCTACGCAGTATGAAATCCATACATTTACTTTTTTCATCTTTGTTCACAACAAATATAATTTCTTTAGAAAAACTTGAAATGTGTTAGGAATGTCACAACATCATCTCATGAACACAAAGACACACTGTCATGTGTGTCTGCCAGAGCTTGAAGGAATGAATAAAGCAAAATGCCTGTGCTGCTCAATGCTTCTACAGCTCATTAATTAATTTAAAGCTATCAAGTAGCACTTGACAATGAACACCATATTAAACTCTAGAGGTTTTATGAATACACAGGTGACTGCAATTTAGTTTGTTAACTGGCTTTAATAAGAGTGATGGCACATTTTCAGTTCTTGGTGTGATCTACTACATCCAAGAAGCTAGTATCCTTTCCATGAAGTCTAAAAGTCATAATGAGAACTATAACCTTCCAGGACAAATGGAACAAAAATGGATGCAAGGTACAAGGTGCAAAGATGCAAGGTCTTAAACTGTAAATGTCTTCCTGTTACAAACATACAGTACAGCTATTAATACCTTAAAGTGATAGTGAAATCATTGTTCTCAAATGCTTGATTGAAAACTGTCCATTTGTTCATCAAGTGGACTTACTTGTGAATGATACCTCTTAATTTTACTGAAGAGCTGTTCATTCTTGAAAAGAGTGGGTAAGATATTTTAATTGAATTGATTAATGGATGCAACAGAGTGCCGATACAGTCAACAAAAAGAGTGGCAGAGGTGTTAGCAGGTTCAAAGGATGCAGTCCTGGATGTGGAAATTCTGCATCCACTGGTCTCTTTGTTTTCCTCTCTACCAAGCACAAAGCTCCTGACTCCAGTACTGAAACCGACAGGGACAATCCTGATGATGTGGAGGTCATAAATGTTTGTTATATGATTTTAAGCAGAGGCATGGCAGGCTTCCTAAAGCAATGCTCTTTCAGTAAACCCCCTAGGAATGCATGACATGACACAGCACGGCATGACAAGGAATGAGGGATGGACCATTGTTACAGCCTGCTCCATAAAAAGAAATGTTTAATCATCCAGATTCCTTCACTTCTATGTTTACTGTGGCATGCCACCAGCATCTCGATATTGGCATAAAAGAGCAACTGTCTCGATCACTGGCTATGCCACTTTGTTGTTTAGTATTCTGAACCCTAATGTACATTAGCTGAGACAGGCCAGGTAAAAATAAATTAAAAAAAAAACATGGAACAGCTATATTTATACAGTCTCACCTCATGAACACACTGCCGTATGGAAACACTTTTAACATGGATTTAACAGAGACTGAAGCAGACTTTTTTTCTTCTCTGATGGTCATTACACATATAGTATCACACAGATTCTCTGTAGAGATGTTTCTGTCAGCTATTCACATGACTAGTTCTGATCAGGAAAAAACACATTGTTGCAATTAACATACCGCACAAGGTCTGCCACCGACAATATTAAATCCCAGAGATCCGGATTCACGATGAAGAATGACTTTGAGGTTTTTTGTCTCTCCGCCCTAGGGACAGAAAAAGAACAGGTGCTTTATGGCTCAACTCTAGTCTGTTAAAGCTGTTTGGTAAGGCATGATGACAAAACTTATCTCCACTTGACCAAGTCAACTACATTAACGCAGGCAGAGGAAAAGGGCAGAACAATACAGTACATTAATGTCTTAAATGGTGGACATCAAAAGATTCCAGTAAATCTGGTGGAAGCAGATACATTTGAAACATTCTTAAGTTAAAGAGATGTTAAGTGACCAGCTGTATTAAGGGTAAACATTGTTTTGTTCATTGTATGAAGGCCACCCATTCAATACTTATTTATGTAACAGCTTTAAGCCTCAGTAATGCAAGGATGACAAGTGCAACAGTATAAAATTGCTGTGTCCTGCTTTTTTAGTGGAACATAACTACAGCTGTCATCTCTGTGAATCATGACATACAGTAACTAAATATAAAGCAGATATTAATGGCCTGTGTGTGTTCTGCTGCATGCTTCCCATCTTAGCTAACGGTAGTGTTGATGGAATTTTCAGTATTGCAGATCACTGTGGGTTACACAGTTCTGTGTTATGCTTCTTTCTCATAATGAGAAGTTACAAATGGAGCAAATCAGAAACAAGCGTTCTTAAGGGTGGTGATAAATCCATTTAACATGTGGCACCTGTTAAGCCAGTTCCATGAAATGGTGCAATGATTTTTGTTTAACTGACAAGTTTTGAAACTAGTTTTTGGCAAGATTAAAATGTTGCCATCCACAATACTGCCAAAGAGCTTTGGGGTTTCTCAAATCCAAGATAATTGTCCAAGAGAACCTTACTCTAAAGCTTCACTTTTATAAATAAAACCCTCTTCTTTGCTGTGCTGTTGGGCTGAAACATTTTTATTTCATTTTCTTTTTAGAATTCGGTACAATGCTTTTATGTGTATTGCAGGCTGATCGACTTGGAAAGGTGTGACATGGTATGATTCATCAATAAATGAGGGATCAATGGCCCAGACTAAAAATGAAATGTAATAAAATGAAAAATTTTGTTCACCCTGCCAATCTCACAATTCTCCACGCATCACCTTTTGTTTGTCAGATCATTCTTGCTTTTGCTCCTACCTAAAGGAAATTACAACGAAGCAATGGACTTGCATTTGATGGGTGGGCCAAAGATTTGATTGCATCTGGCCCTCAAGCAATGCAGTTTGAATGACTTATGAATCAGGCAATATTTTAAAATATCAGACACTCTGTTCCTAATGTTACACTGCCAATCCTGTCTTCTGTTTTTTATCATAACCCATCTGACAAGATAAGGAAGTTATCACATAACCCCAGGCATTCACAGCCATGGTATTTTTTAACATGACGGCTGTAGGGGGAAAAAGTCACATTAAATCTAGAAAAGCTCATAAATGTGCGCATATCGGTTCAAATATGACTCAACCAGTACAAGTATTAACACAAACTCTCGGTCTGTAACTCTCCCGCCTCCTACAATTCCTTGCACTCTCGTCTTTCTTTTCATTTTGCCACATGTGCATTGAAGTTGATGCCAAGTGATCATGTTCATGCTGCTTGGCTGAATTTAAAGAAAAAAAAAGTAAAACTAACCACATCATCCATGTATTTTTTTTTTTTATTATTCCTTGCCTTTATTTTTTAAATGCACTTTCATGGACAATTTGAAAAGTAAGTCCTTAGGAAAGTATTCCATGGATTACAGATATTTTGCAATTCGCGAAACAAGATAATACTCCATCTTCCACAAACTATCAATCCTAACTAAACAAAAATAGCTGAGAACATATTCTTTACTTTCACAATTCCTTATGTCTCAGGTTTTATTTTGTGACTTGAAAACTTATTTTCTACAAAGTATTCCACATGGATTTTAAACCTTAAATAGACCCATACCCATGTGTAAGAATGTAGTACATCTGACTTAAAAACATTAACACTATATAGGCTGCCAACAGCAAATACTGTGTTTTGAGATATAAAACCTTTATTCCCTATTATAAACTATAGGACCATGACATTTACACAATGAGAACACAACAATCTAACAAAGACAATTGGTAACATCACTAAAAGCATGTGACTCTCTGATAAGCAGACCGATTCAATTAACATTTTTAGCTGTGAGACGGTCCTTGGGGAAAATAGAGTGCAACACTGCCAAGATGAAATCCCTAAGAGACTAACATGGAGTGTTTTCTTTGCCAGAAAAACAGTGTATGTTTATTCTATGGAATGCTTAATACACAGCTCTTAAGAAACTAAAGATACAAGTTTTTTCTGGTATACGGCCTAAATACAGTATTTACTCTTTTTATTAAAAATTCATAATATATCTACGGTACCATAAAATGAAATGCAATTCTTTCAGCCTTCAGCATTTGTCTTCCTTTTACAGTATAATGCTAAATTACTATCCATTCATCCATTTTCAATAGTACAAATGAACAATTTTTAATGGTGAGCTACAGTCTAACATAAAGTAAGATGGAACTACACCCTGAACAGGACTACAGTTCATTGCAGGGCACAGACATACATTCACATTCAGTAGACCAATTCAGAGATTGCAATTAGCCTAAAAAAACATGTCTTTTGACTGTGGGAGGAAACTGGAACACCTAAAGAAACCCAGACACAGAGGATAAATTTGCAAACTGCTCACAGAAAGTGTCACAGTGCAGAATTAAACCCAGGACCTAAGAGCTGGTACCATAAGTACTGTAGTTGCACTAACTACAACACCTTTGAGCCTCTCTAATGCAAACTAGGCTTCCACCCATTCATCCACTTTATCCAGTAGTGAAGAAAGTGCTGTATAGAAATCACTAAGCTCCATCCAAATCATTACAGAGGCTTGTCATAAATCAACAGACACCCTCTGATATTTGAATAAATCTTTCAAATTGCATATCTTATTACCATTAACTATTAAGACAGGCCAATAGAAGCCTCAATCACACCAGAAGGACACGGGGAGACACCAGCAGGCAAAAGTAGGTTCTACTGTTGACTGCTGACAGGGTCTATTTCAAGAAAAGCCAAAACACAACCACTCATGAATATTCTGGACAACGAAATCCTAGATAATGAACACACAATGTAAAAAAGACATTTGCGGGCACTGAAAATGGTCAGTGTAACGGTCCGCTGTGAATGTGGCGGAACACACACAGGTGTCCAAGAGAGCCACCAGACCTTATCTCTTTGTCATGTGGTACTGTACATTGGACCTAACACACTGCAAGATGCCACTTACTCATGAGATATGTTATTCACCACATGGGAATAATTTCTGAAGTTCAACTAAGTTTTGTTTCAGACACATAATGTATAGTACCATATTCAAACAAGGTATCTTAAGTTTTCCATTACACATGTTGAAAACAAAATTAATCTACGAAGAAATAAATAAAAAACGTAAATATGACTTTTAAATGCACTATAGAGAAATAATATATAGTGGGGCGGTGGGGCGGGAGGTGGAGAGTATCGTTTCAAGTGAGTATCCATTGCGTCACGATGTGCACTGTTACAATGAGTTCAGTTAAAGAGTGGAACCCTCACCATATCTATTTGACTAAAAGCAAAAAGTCTGACTCATGAATGTATATTTTACTGTTAATTGTGCTTCCAAAAATTGCTTTTAAAAGTTTCTAAACGAGCTTCAATATAAGAATATAATCAAAATACACATTAATGTGCTATTTTAATTTGTTCTGCTTCTAAACGAATCAAATTATTAAATAGATAGTATACATCATACAGTATACAATACTGTATATTTATTGTACTATAAAATCAACTAGACAAAAACTGCAAAACTTTGTTATTTACCCTGGTGTTAAAAACTACATAATTACTGCCCATTGATTTTAAATAATTACGGATGCCTTTTTAGTTTGATTATATACTGCAGGAAAATAAAAATAAGCAAACTAAGAAAAAAATATTATTAACTGAAGCAGGATTACAAATTCTCTCTTGCAGTAAGTGCGTCAAGGAAAAATGTTCCAAGAAAAACATGAAGGTAATGAGCGCACAAAACCTTTCTAGAGGCAGAAAATGACTGGTTTTGTTAGTGACGTTAGTTAAGTCTCTATAAGGTAAACCCAAGTCAAAGTGTGTACAGAGATTAGCAGTAAATATTTGCCCCTCCCCCAATAAGTGCCAGCTGGCTCTGACCGCAGCTGACAGACATGTCTCCAGGCAAAATGGAAAAAAAAGTTCCGAACTTCTGACCACCTACTAACCCTTCCAAATGGTAAAAACCTTGGAAATAATTTTTAAAAATTTTAAAGTTAAAAAGAATACTCCCGCCATGACCACAGGAGACTCTAAGTCTGCTTTAAGAACTCATCTCAGCTTGGATCACTCCTTAAGCATCTTAACAGAAAACGCATCACTTCATTTTTTCTTTTACTTTTTTTAAAAGAAAAAACTTATTAAGCTCATTTGTGTACAGATGTCCTGAGTCTAAAAGGGCGCATTCTCGGCGTTAGAGAAAATGCGCATTTAAAGAAACGAGGGGAAAAAGTACCAAGTGCTTCTTTGCATCATTCTCTACTATTTATCGAATACACTTACCTTACATGGAGGAGCAAGGCTTTTGGTCAGAGAGTCGATCCTGGCACTGTATTCTGTGAATTTCTTTTGGTACTTCAGAGCTGTCATTTGCAGCTCATTATGAACTGAGGACAGCTGAGCCAGAAGAGATTTCTCTCTTTTGCTCGATTTCAGCGATTGCTTCTTGAACTCCTTATCCAATCCTACAATTTTAGCTTGCAATGTGCTATTATGAGCCCTAAGAGCCTTCAAACAACAGTGGTTGCCTAATTTCTGCTCTTTATAGATAAGCATCAAACCACATCCATTTTCACAAATCCCGACAGGTCTGTAATCACAAGTTTCACGCATATGGGCATCCATGTCTTTAAGGTTCAGCACTTCGTTGCATCCCTTATTCCTGCATTTAGCTGGGGAATAATCACACATCTCTGCGTGCTCTGCGAGATGTTGCAGTTTAACCACTTTCTCGCAGCCCCGGGAATAGTTGTCACACTTTATGTCCAACTTGAGAATCAGATTTTTCAGAGGGAGAACATGGTTCAGCTCCTTAGTAGAGATCCTTTGGCACTTCACCGGGCAGCTGCTTTGCTGGACGACCCAGGGCAAGACACAGCCAGCGCAGAAGACATGACCACACGGAGTGGTAAGCGGATCCTCCAAAACTTTATTGCACAAGTTGCATTTAAAATCTGGGTCCACAGCCCCATTAAAGCGATCCAGCTCAAATCCCATGTTTTATGTAACTCCAAAAACAGACAGGAATTCCCAGAGATCACAGAAGAAGCAGTTGCTTCTTTTCGCTTGTCATTGGAAGGACCCAAAACGACTGACTGACTGCAGGCTCTTTACTGACTGAACTAATTGCCCGAGACTTCCTTAGAAAAAAAAAGTGGAGGAATTCACTACCGTAATCACCATAAGACGAGGGTACTTAAATTCTTTATCCCAGCCTTTCCACGCCTTTTACAGTTAAATGGAATGAAAAAAACGACAACAACTTTTGATAAGGTTAAAAACAATAATATTCGTGCATACATTTAATAAAATACAGTCTATGCGTCTCTTTTTTTTCAAAACGTAATAAATCGTAAACTTTTGGTTTTTTACTAGCAGTGTAAAACATTGATTATTCGCCAAGCTCATAAAACGGATTTCATGTCTAATACAGTTCTGATTTGGAATATTTTGAATATGTTGCGCAATGTTACTCTAATGGAAAACTTCCTGCATTAATCCAAAGCAATAGATTTATATTTAAAAGAATTAGCTGTCTTGTCATAAATGTGACGCACGTCTTGTTCATACTGAATTTAATATTACGTGAATACTAACATGAATATGCAGATTCATTCTCGACAAAGCATCTGAAACCGTGAGAGCTAAAGGGGCAAATAAACTCTAGGAATTAGACACTAACGCTTTTGAAAGGAGAATACAGTATGTTCTTTTTGTTTGTTTGTTTGTTTGTTTGTTTTTTGCGTATTACTGATATGATGCATGTGAGTTCTACTCTTACTTCTCACACATGTTGTCACAAAACAAGGACAAGTACTTTATCAATATATTTCATTCAACTATAAGTATGATTTGTAGACTTCATAGTTCTGCAAGGATAAGGCTAAATTACATTTGTAAAAATCAGATCACAGTAATAAAAGCAATGGGCTACCACTAATAAATTATCTCACATGTGAGATTGTCATTATAACAGCAATTAAAATCATATTTACTGTTTACTTCATATATATAATACATTGCACATTATTTTATAAATACAAATATATGAAACTGATAAGATCTAGCTTCATATTTTATCTATACATTTCAAAACCATACATTGCAAGGATTTATTATTTGTCTCAATGTGAGAATAATTAATGTTTAGTTTGTCATGCTGTAGTATAGTACAGTGTAAGTACTGTATGTTATATACCATATAATGATCAATGGAATGTCCAAGGTAAACAATAAGTATGTAAACTATAGAAACCCGGGAGAGCGGGAAGGGGGGGGGGGGCAGATCCCGGCTTTCCGAAGCCGGAGGAGCCAACGGGACCCTCCACTCACAGCACTTTACAGGTAATGGGGATCCCCTCCACCCCCACCAGTGTGCAGCCCCACCTGGATGAGGCGCCAGTCCGGTCCCCACACCCCAGCTCTCAGTGGGGAGGAGAGCAGAGTGATGGAGCCAGTTCAGAGAGGGGGGTTATTAGGAGGCCATGATGTGTAAAGGCCAAGGGGGAAATTTGGCCAGAACACCGGGGTGACACCCCTACTCTTTACTATAGAAATTTGACTTTTGAAAATACAGAGTAAATGTAATCTGGCTGCTCTAATGTCACTGAGAAAATGCATGAAACTGATCAAGCAGCTGTGTTGTGTAGGTACAAAGCAGAACTTCCTTCACTTCAGAAGAATCATTTGTGACTAGGGGTGTTTATAATGACCACCTGAAGTCCTCTCTGCATTTGCTAAGGTGAGGAAGCACAACGGTTTTTTAACCTCAAATTTAAACCAAGAGAAAAACACTCATACACATTTTAGAAATAACTATAACAGTAGCGACAATGACATCTTAATGTTCTTTATATACCTCAATATGTTTGCTAGCTATATTTTTTAAGATCTCATGCAGACCAATGGTACAAGATCTGTTGGAAGGATCTTGAAATATAGTATCATCTTAATAAGGGTGTTTTATACTTATTTTAATAATTTGAAAATGCCCTAAATGCTCTCTCTCAAGCACAAATATAAATAATTGCAAAAAAGTATTTGTTTTTAAGACCAAGGCATGTCTGAAGATTAAAATGATACTAAATGGAATATTCTGTCTCTATCTATTTACAGTAGGGTCTTAAATGCATTTCAGTGCCGGCCAAATGATCACATTTATGTAGTGTGACAGGAATTGAAAAAACAAATTAATCCACATTATCTTTTAAGATTATGTTTGTTTGTTTTCATTAGGTTCACTTAATGATCCTTCCTTGGCCCAGTTCCCTCAGTCACAGATAGGTGTTATCAAATGTTTACTTTAACAAGCACAAGCAGACTACAGCTAAGAGAATTATTTATAGATACATTATGAATTATTTAATCTATTATGAACATGTTGACAACCATGCTTGTTTCCATAGACCTTTCAGTACGTCTGCAGATTATTTTTAAAAAAGATGGCTTTTTAGTTTCGCTTTTGACAATTATCATTAATAGTTTTTTTCCCCCTTTATTTTCCACCTGTCCATTAGGATTGTTATGTCTAATAACTCACATCCTGTGACCACTAGGGTAGAGGCAGTCTGTTTGCAATCCAGGTCTGTGACGGTATCTTCTGCACAAACAGGAGGACAGAGTCCTCACAAATAGGAGGCTCAAGGAAGTTGACTGTCTGAAATAAGAGGATGAGGTCCTCTGCGCACAGTGCAGAGAAACGTGGCATGGGCTTGGGGGATTTATGGCCTTTACACAGCTTTGTCAAAAAGAAATAGACATGCAACATCAAATTCACTGCACAAAGAAAATGCGACTGAGTGACTCAGCTGGTATGAATATGCTTTATTCAAGTGCAGCCTGGCCTGTGTGGATTTGATGATGTGACTTTTGGCCATGTTACTATAACTGACTGTGACCAGGAGTACCCAAACTCTGCGCTGTTAGAGGTAGTATTATGTATAGTCATCTGTAGGTTCTCTCAGCCTACAGTGAAACAAGAACTCCAGTGATTTATCAGATCCCCACAGACTTGCAGTGTGGAAGTAAGCATCTTGTCTTTCTTCCAACTGGTAATGAACAACCTGTACATCACTGTGGAGGCTGGATACCATCAAACAATAAATGGTTTAATGGATGGGCAGTTTGGAGGAGCCTATATCTACTTCATGTGCCCCATTTAGGTACAATCATAATATAGGTTGGTAAAGGAAAAGAATGAGAACTAGGATATACTTGGTGAATTGAATCATGACCTAAAAGAAAAAAAAAATATTAAAGGCAGTTTGTTTCATTATGTGATATTCTTAACCTATAAGCTGGGTTTCGACAATGTCTTATTTGATTTTTTACTTTTAATACCTGACTGATCTGAGGATCTCATCCAGCCATTGGTTTGAAATGTCATTGTTAAATAGCAGTTTAGAAGGAGGTAAAAAAATAATTTCCAGTTTCCACTCTCCTGTGCAGAAATACTTCCACAACCCTGCAAACATCTTTCTATCTCCCCTACATCCACCATTGTAACTGCCTCCCTGATTCATTCCTCATGCGTGAGGGAGGTTGTGGCAGTGCTGACCTTTGGCTAGAGCATCTCCCATGTAATTGGAAAAAGAAAACTGAACATTTTTTTCACTAAATTTTGATAGACATGTAATCATGAAATCTATCCCAAATCTGATTTAAATGTAATTCATCCTATTGGTGTTCTAGCAAGACTGGCACATACAGAGACTAAAAATTTGAACATTAACAAAAGAGAGTATAATGGTGTCATGATTGAATGAAATTATAAATTATTAAAACTATTATTATTGCACTGAAAGGTTAGATTGAATATGGGGAAAATGAAGCAAAATAGGTTTTTTATCAAAACTTAGGATTAGTTTAATAAAATGATGTAAATAAAATTTACATATTTCTATATTTTAGTTCTGTAATGCATTCTAAGTAAACATATACTTCAAAAATAATTTTAGTGCTCAATTATCAGTGTATCGTATGCTTTTTTGAGTCATCATTTAGTTGTTTTTTTCTAATTATATTTCTTATTGTAAATGACAGTATTTGTATTTCTAGCCTGTTTGGATCACTGTTTTGTTAGCGTGGCTTATGGTGAAGAAAAGATCTTCCCAATCTAGTTTAATTCAAAATGCACCTCCACAAAATACAGGAATTTTTAACCATTTTCCAGCTCTGCAGGCAGTATTACAGTCATAAAAGCATTTGAATTGTAAATGATGAAAGGCCAATTCAAAGGGCACCCCAGTTGTGTTTGGTGAAGGGACAAGAATGGTAGGCATACTCGAAGCTTAACTGCCCTTTGTGCACAGAATCCAGCATTGTGCAGACATTATATTATGTTACGGAAAGAAAACATACTTTTGTATGTTGTCTGGACCCAGAGAAATCAAATTACATGTGTTATTATACCTGAACGATTCAATCCACATGTTAACTATTTAAAATAATCGATGCTCATCAATGACTTGGCAGTAGATCTTGGAGAACACTCATTATATGATTTTAAACAGCTCTGATAATACACATAGCAGGATAGATGCCCTTACACTGAGACGATACAATTCGGTACCATGAGATAATTTATTGTCTATGAATGTAAAATTATCTATCAAATGAGATGCCTGAAGTATTGAATTAGTAAAAAAAATAATTAAATGCATGTGAAATGTGCAGAAGAAATATTACAATTTTGTATTTGATAAGTATCCTTGGAGGAATAGGACAGTACAATGAGAATGTCTGTAAAATGTAAGTAAATATAAACAAAGTGTAACTAATAAAATCACAGTAAGCTACCTAATGAGGTTGCTAAGAACATCATGAGCAAAGAGTTGTCTGACTCCTTATAAGAATTTTGCTTCTCGAGCCACCCTAAAGAAAAGCTCCACAGTATAATTTCCTTTTCGTACTGTATACTCTACAGTATATGATATTATATCTTTTACTTAAAGATCCTCTTTTAAAGATAGTTGAAACACTCTGAGTTGTCGTTTTGGCATCCTTTGGAGGTAGAGTGTGGAAAGTATTTGGATCTGGCCAGAACTAATATTTGCTTTGATTTCTCAACTAAGCTTTAAGTTGTGATTTATTGTTTATAAA